AATTTTATATATTTTAGCATTTATTTCTTTTTTAAATAGTGTAGAAATTAAATTTGTGCCTTACTGATGTCTTCAAGTGAACAGATCATGAACATATTTAGGAAATCATGCTTAGGTAGTACATTTTAAGGGGTTTATTGAAATAGAATGCAACAGATAATTTTGATGGTAGCATTTTCCAGGATGTTCTGTGGAATTTAACATGTCTGGTATGCATTTAACAGTCTCTCATGGCAAGGAAACTGCTCTGTTTTTTACACCGTTCCCCCCTCCCCCCCCGTTTTTTTTCTTAGCTAGAGACACCTTTTGAAAAACTTTCATGCTGCCATGGGCTAGTGGAATATCTTTGGGAATTTCAAAGCATCCCTCTGATCATGTATTTATCTCAGGAATGCTATGTCAGAAATCACAACTCTCCTCATATCTTAAGAATTATCAGCTTCCAAGGAATAGCTGGAAAGTTTAGAGTAACAGCTACATGAATAAAACCTTGCTGAAAGCCTGCCAGGTTGTGGGCCTTTGTGAATGCAAAGGTGTTTGTGTTCATTCCCATGCCAAAATTCTTGCTGTTATCTAATTTGAAGATCCTCTCTGATGATTAGTGAATGCCAGGGATTTATCTCGATAAAGTTCAAGTACTGGTCTGGCTTTTCAACTGAATCCTTAAGGACTAAAGTGGTAGGCTGAAAGGCTCTTTTTTCCTTTAGTGAACTATTTGCTTGTTAAATAAAATAGCATTTATTTGAGGGATTGTGATATTTGAAACTGATAAATACGGAAATGGAACTTCTCAACTTTATTGATCTGGAAGGCATTGTTGCTATTTGCCTATTGTCAATAAATTAAAAGAAACTTTGAAACAAGTACTTCTTGTTCAGGGGGAAAAAACACGAAAAAACCGATCAACAGTATTTTCATTTGTTCTGTGTGAGAGTTTAGGAAAATTACTACTTTCTCATTCATAAAATTAGCATAATAATATGTATTGCTAACCTCAAGGATTGTCATAAATAAAAATGTGATGATTTGTGTATGATCTTAAGCATGGTGCCCCACAAATATTAAGTATTCATAATGAGTTCATAAAGAAAAAAATGATAACAATTTTTATCTCTTTAATATTTGGGTTTATAATTTACAGTCTGGGAAACAAGCTTGCATAATTGTCTGTCATTCAAATTCCTTATGCTAAAAAGTCTGAGCATTTTCTGCTAAAATTGATGTAGATACAAAAAATTCAAATAATTGTTCTTAAACATTAAAAAAGATTTTAATTTGTTTCTTAAAAAGAAACTTAAGCTGTAGCCTGAGAAAGCTGGCAGAAATATCCCTAGCACATTGCCTGCCATGTAAGCTCTTTAAAGTCCTAGATTATTTTTGTAAACTGTAGAACATGTTAATTTAGATTTATGTTTAACAAGATAAACCCGGTAAGCTAAAGATCTCCTCTGTTGAAGATTTTAGTCTTTTATGCTGAAACTTTATAATAATAATGACAATGATTGGTAAAGACAATGAAAATATTTCAAAATCTGCCTACTGCTTAATATCCTTTTAATTGGATCATTGTAACTTTGGTTTTTCTTTGTTTTTGTGTAGCCTTAAACTGAAGCAGTATTATGTTAATTCCTTAGAATTGATTTGAATCAATAGGCGAATTTGGAAATTGACTAATTTTACTTCTCTTACATACTAATTATATAGCTATGTGAAAGAATGCAGCTTTTAAAAATTTATGATCAGATATATTTTTGTAATTTTATGGTAATATATATATATATATATAATTTCGTATGTTAGTGATCTTTATTACTGTAGCTTATAGACGATTCTAAAATTATGTTTAGATGTTAATATGATTGTGGTGATAATTGTAGAACTTTGTGAACATACTAAAAATCTCTTAATTGTATACTTTTAGTGAATTGTATGATATGTAAATTATATCTCAAAACTTTTAAGAAAGGTCAACATGAGGAAACGTCAAATTTGAGGATCTAGTGTTAGATAAATCTAGATTTGCTTGGTAGTTCTGCCGTTTACTTTGGTTATTACTTTACCTTTCTGAGGTTTATATTTAAAATTTCTAAAAATTGAATTAATTTGTACTTTAGGATTACTTTGAGAATTGAATAATAATTCTTGGCATATTGTCAATGCTTCATTTATCTTACCTGCTATTACAATTTATAATTTTATATTACCTAGCAGGCAGGCAGGATTAAGAACAAGACATCTTGCAGAGGAGGCATATGTACAAAGCGTTGGAGTTGTGAAATAACACAATACGCTTAGCAACCATCAGAGCATGTTGAAGAAGTGTGTGAGGAATATGTAAAATGTAAATTCATATAGAAAGCCATACTTCTATCATTTCTGACAATAGGTGAAACATCTTGGACAATAAATATTTGCTGAACTCAATAAAAGAATAAGACCTTATTAGTGACTGAAACATTAACAGCAATAGGCTAAAGGATTAGAAATGAAGTTGAGTTCTTTTGTTATGTTTAGCCATGCAATCTTGAGTAAATAGAGATTGTGCATATTTGGAACAGCTGTAGTAAATTCTGTTCCTGTTACCAGTTTTCTAGTGTTTTATTATGAAAATGTTCAGACATACAGAGAAGTTGAAAGAATTGTACTGTGAACACCTATAGACCCATCACTGAGATTCAACAATAAGCTATTAGCTCCGTTTGCTTCACCATGTATCCATCAATCTTATTTTTGTAATGTACTTCAAAGTTGTAGACATCAGTTCACTTCACTCTTAAATATTTCAGCCAGCATGCAGCTCTCTAATTGGAGATTAATACAGTTTTTTTTTTTTTTGAGCTAAACTTTACATACAATGAAAGACATAGTCTTAAGTGTACCATTTGATGAGTTTTGACAAATTTATACACTTGCTTAATCCCAAGTTCCCATCATAATATCATTGGCTTTGAAAGTTCTCTTTCCCAGCCAATCCCTCTTCCTATCCCCCAAAGGCAATTATTCTGATTCTTCTCTACCATAAATGAGTTTTGCCTGTTCTAGACATTCAGGTTAAAAAAACAAAACAAAACCAACCAACCAAACAAACAAACAAAAACTCACAAAGTATAAGGCTTCATTTGACATAATGCTTTTGAGATTCATCCATGTTTTTTGTCAGTAGTTTGTTACCTTTTATTGCTGAATAATATTCCATTCTACAAGCATAGCCCCATTAAAAAATTTTCTGTATCTTCATAAAGGACATTTGGGTTACTTCCAGTGTTTGCCTATTATAAATAAAGCCTGTATGAACATTATTGTATTCATATTTTGTGTACATAAGATTTCTTGAGGAAATGCCTAGAAGTAGAATTGTTGAGTTCTAGCATAGATAGTTATATGTCTTACATTTTGATTATAGATAAAGCAATTTCACTTTTTAAAGTATTCTTTTCTATTGCTCCATTCAGTCCTTACTTTATGAGTAAACTGGATCTTTTTGGTTCTTTCTTTTGTGAAAAAATATGAAAGTAAATTCTTCATACTTCTCTCTCCCCTGCAAAATCGTTGCTAGAAGACAGTGATTTTCTTAAGCAATGGGTTTTAAATTTCTCCCTCCAGCAGGAAATACACAAATTACCTTTTGTGTTGTTTTTGAAGGTACCGCTAATACACATGTATACACACACGTTTGCGTGAACACACACACAAACACACATACAGAGGTCATATCTACTCCCCATTAAGTCAATAATCTTCATCTGATATAAGCTGCCATGATTTAAGCACACCATTTTGGATTGGGGGCTCAGGTGGCTGTTGCTTCTATTTTTTAGTGTATAGTTAACATTGGCAGTCACCCTTATAATGATGTGACACCAGCTACCCCCAAGTACATTGAATAAGCCTTGCCTAGCACAGGAGAACTTGATTTAATTGGCAACAGTGTTTGCCCTTACATGATAGGCACTGAAGTAAAACGAAACCTATTTTGCTTTGTGTGTGTGTTTTTAAAAATAACTACAAAAATGCATTATTAAGATATTGGAATTACATAATTTTCACTTCCGAATATTGGGATCAAGTACCTAAATAACTTTGTTTAGAAACTGAATACTTTAAAGCTATTAAGGGAATACTTGCAGCTTGTAGTTATAGTACTGTCAACAAAAGATGTGATTAAATAAATTGAATGTTGAAGACTTTAGGCTTATGGTTAACACCAGGTAATTAAAAGTAAGCACTGCTGTGGGAGTGCGTTATATATCAGCTGTCCTCTTTACCTCATTAACTGGTTTTTTGCATGTTTATGGAGCCAACTTCAATTAAAAATGCCTTTTAAGTTATGCCTAACAAGGTCTTTTAGTTGCTATTTGGTGTAAAGTATTATACTTTAATTGAAATTGGTGTATCATAAATACCTGTGTTTGAATAATATACAAGATAAAGAATTTTGATTATTTGATATTTTTGCATCTGGTTTTTATTCTTATGCATTACTTTTTTACATACTATTATCAAAATATATAGTCTTTGGGGTTTAAAAATGAAAAACTGAGTTGTATACATGTTAGCAAATTGTTTATATCTGCTTTTTTAAGTCTTACAAGATTTCTAAGGTTTTATTATTTCAGATTAGCAGTGTTTTACATTTCTAGTGGAAACACTGAATTTTCTGCTTTAATACTTTTGGCTATATTTAATTTGTTAGATAATTAAAGATGACCGTAAACTTTAAAAATACTTTGTGGTAAATATAAGTTTAAATGTTAAAATGGATTGTTATATTTCCATAGAACCTTTTCTTGGTTCTAAAAAAAAATGTGAAATGCAGATAAATAAGGATAGTGTTGAAGAGATTTCATGTTGGGTGAAAAGTCTAAATTATACAACAAATAGAAGCAAGAAAGAAAATTAAGAAAAATAAGTTAGCTACCTAGTTTCTGTTTTGAAATTCATGTAATTAATTGAAGAGATCAGTTTGTATCTTTCAATCTGTTTACTTTTTTTTATTACAGGAGTGTTATTGTTGCAACAAAAAAGTCAGCAGTCTCACCTTGCACACTTACTACAAGCATATCTACCAATGCTGTCAGTGTGGTTTCCTCAGTAGATTCAGCTCAAGCCTCAGATGTGGGAGGAGAATCACCAGGTGAGTTAGTTATCAGTGATTTCAACAAAAATGTGTTTAGATCTTATTTTAGCAAAGCTTAGGATTTTTGATTAACTTAAATTTTAGAGGCACATTAGAAACCATTGTGCTTTTATATTGTTGTTTATTACTTTTCTGAATAAATTTGAGTAAAATTAAAAGAAATTAAGTCAAGGGTTTCAGTATTTTCTCCATTCAAACCTAGTAGTGTGTGGTAGATTAGATGCTGCTGGTTGGGTGATGAGTGCATGCACGAATGATAGATTTATGAAAATACTTTTTTCCCTGTACTTAAGAAGATATATATAGATAATGGCTTAAAATAGAAAGTTTTGTTGACACGTAATCTTTTAATATGGTTACTGGTTGTCAGATATTTATATAGAATCCATTACTTTGGTTTCTTTTTTTTTTTTTTTTTTTTTTTTTTTTTTTTTTTGCTTATTTTTTTGAATTAGAGACTTGGAAAGTAGTGCTGCTCTGAAATGTAGCATCATTCTAACAGTGGTCATACTGGTTCAGTTCCTCCTATGGCAATTTTATTTTTATCCATCTCTCCTTCCATATTCTTTCCATGTATAAAAGCATATATATGGATAAAAGAAATTTTCTGTGTATAAAATCATGTGGATGCAAGATCTTATACGTTGATGGGAACCTTAGTGGTGATATGGGTAAACTTGAAGAATGTGTAGTATTAAAATGACCAGGTATAACAAAGGGGACGTTACTGTATCAGTGGTTTTCTTCTGGATGTTGTGCTGTTTCATAAAGTTAATAACAAGATATTGTACCCCCCAAAAACACTTATCTTATGATTCTAGATTGAGATTGGTGAAAAATAAAGGAATTTTGAAGGAATGGCCTGGTGGATTATATTGAGATCAGAAATAATGTTATTTATTTGGGATATCTTAGGCAAGGGTTTGCCTTTTATTCTGCTGTTTCACCTTTATTTGGCAAATTAGGGATATCTCAGGCAAGGGTTTGCCTTCTGTTCTGCTGTTCCACCTTTAGAGTTTTGTTCCAAGCTTGATATTTCTCCTGGCCAGTAGCTGCGATCTTTTTTCCTTGCTGTGTACTATGTAACCATGTATCATAGAAACAAAGACTACATTTATTTCTTTTGTCTTCTCTTTTTAAAATATGTATTTGTGTTAACAAAAATATATTTTTCTGAAGTTTTAAATGTGTTTATTATTATTATTATTTTTTTTTTTTTTTACAAATTTTATAGTGTTTAGTGATAACAGAAAATGTTCACAGTAGGTTAAGTAAAAGAAAGTTATATGTAATTCTTTACGTATCATATAATTACAACCAAGTGACTTATACACCTTATTTACATGGTAAAAGCAAGAAAGTATTTTGTGAAGTTATGTGGGTCTCCATGAAGTTGAGCTACTGGCAGTTTTGATTTTCGAAATTTACTTTAGGTGGTATTTCTAAAATTTCATTAATAGTCTTGTATTATTTTTATTCTTAGGAAAAATAGTGATTAGACTTTTTTTTTCTACTTTGAAACCAAAAGCAGCAATGGCAGCAGAGTTTTGTCTGCCTTGCTTTTTATTTCATAGTTTTTTAAAAACATTAATAGACTTTATTTTTTAGATCAGTTTTAGGTTTACAGGAAAATTGAGTTAAAAGTACAGAGAATTCTTAAGTACCCACTCATTCTCTTCCTTGCTAGTTTCCCCTGGTCTAGTGAGAATTACAGAGGCAACCAGGCATGAAACTGTAACAAATTTTTAATCTTTATTGTTCCATTATACTCTGATGTCTGTTTTTTTTTTTTTTTCCCTTTGAAGAAGAAATAATTTGGTAATTCATTTGGGGCTTGGTATGCACATTTCTGCTTCTCCAGCCCCATCCAAAGCCCTTGGGAAAAAAAAAGATTCAACTGTGGTTTTTCTAGAGTAGTCCCTTTTTTGAAAAATGCAATAGTCATTAATATCTATGAAATGATTTACATGCCATCTTTTAAATTCAGTTATAGTGAATTTTCAGTAACATTCCAGAACAAATGTGGTAATTTCAGAAATTCAAAGTACACTGAGTAAAATATTTTCTTATTCTGCCCTCTAGTTTCAGTTTAGGGAACAGAGTAAATAGGGCCCTTTGATCGCTTTTAAGTCTGTTTGCTAAAATTTAAGTCATGGAGTTTTCAGAAGAGATAAGAAATGGAAAGCTGAGACATTTGGGTAATATCTCACATATAACAGTATTATACGTTTCTCTCTGAAGCCATTGTATTTTTTTTTCCAGTAAATTCATTGTAATTTACAATATTCACTTTGTAAAACTGTATACAGAATTACAAAATAATTTGCTATCTTGAAGACTGTTGTATTTATTGGCAAAGTCTACAAAACCCTGTACCATTGATCCAGCTCATAACGTATCTTATTTTTCTTTTCTTTTATTGAGGCGGAGTTTTGCTCTTGTTGCCCAGGCGGGAGTGCAGTGGTGTGATCTCAGCTCACTGCAACCTCTACCATCTGGGTTCAAGCGATTCTCCTGCCTCAGCCTCCCATGTAGCTGGGATTACATGCCTGTACCACCAGACCAGCTAATTTTGTATTTTTAGTATGGACGGGATTTCTCCATGTTGGTCAGGCTGGTCTTGAACTCCCAACCTCAGGTGATCTGCCTACTTCACCCTCTCAAAGTGCTGGGACTACAGGTGTGAACCACTGCGCCCAGCCCATTGTATAATTTGTAATGGTGTTTCTCAAATAGTTCCCAATTGTTTTTCCATCTACAGCTAGAATTTTAAACACTTTTTTCCCCTCAACGCCGTCTCCCCCATTCTTTTTAAAGTAGTTCATTCATTTTTCAGTTATTTCCAGTCGTCTTTGTGATGATGGTTTTTCTTTTTACCATTTATTTTGGTTTCCACATCTTGCTCCTCTTCTTCCTCTTTCACTGTACTCCTGTCACTGTCATACGGGTTCTCCATTTCAATTTATTACTTCTATTCCATTTGTTAATTGATACCATGAACATTACTGCCTTGATAAGAAAAATCTAACCTAATCTAGTGTTTTCAGTTGTCCTGCTTCTTACTCTTCTACAGCCCCACTTTACATGCTTTGCCTACCATACTTGCCCTTGTACTTCTTAAGTACTCTTTTTCACATGGAATCCATCCCATCCCCACCCCCTGCCATAGTTCTGTCTCCTTTGTCAATATTTTTTTTTACTGATAGACTTTTGTTTTCTTTTTGGTGGGTCTCTTGATTTGTTTGCCAGTAAATGAAATAGATAAATATACAGATAGTTTCAACTTAACAATTTTTTTGGCTTTATGATGGTGTGAAAGCATACACATTTAGTAAAAACTATACCTCAAGTATCCGTATGACCATTCTGATTTTCACTTTCAATACAATATTCAGTAAATTACATGATATATTCAATACCTTATTATAAAATAGGCTTTGTATAAAATGCATTTTTTACTGAGAATATAGTGCTTGACTTATGATGGGGTTACATCATGATAAACCATTGTATGTTGAAAATATTGAAAATTGAAAATGCACTTAATGCACCTAACCTACCAAACAGCATAACTTAGTCTACCCTATCTTTTTTTTTTTTGAGACGGAGTTTTCACTCTTGTTACCCAGGCTGGAGTGCAATGGTGCGATCTCGGCTCACCGCAACCTTCTCC